TTTTGTAGAGATCATTTAAAGGCAATTTATTTTATTTTATGCATTTGAGAGTGTGCTTATTTGTTATGTGATGTTATTAAAGCATATTGCTGACACGTGGGAAAAAAAAAGAAAAAAAAAAGAAAAAGAAAAAGAGAAAGAGAAAGACAACATGGCTCATACATTTGGAATAGAATGAAGGATTCAAAAGAGAGCTTACAAGTCATTGGCAAGATTGGATTTGGAAGCTTACATTACATACAAACACCGCCAATGGAATCAAAGGGCGGCTCTAAATTAGAATAAAGAGTCATTCATTATAAAATCCAATGGACCTGCATTGTACTCATCCATGCTTAAGTTAAATAAATTCTTAATTTCTTTAATCAATAAGAGAGACAACTTAATAATTTTTTCCAATATTAGAAAGAGAAACATTAACGGGCGAACGGAAAATGCCAGGGAAATCATATATATAGACCCAATGTGTTGGTGGGTCACGAATGAAACCTTGTGTACCACACATCTCTAATATTAGTAAGACTCAATGTATTGGTGGGTTACGAATGGAAAATGATTGGGATATCATGAATTTTTTTTTACAAAATCAGATTAATCATAACAATCCCATATAACCCAAAAAAGATGATAAAGAAAAGAATAGAGACGATATGCAAGTTAAATGATAGAGTATGCACATCAAGCTAAGGGCCGTAACTCGTGACTATTCCCGTGATATACAAGTTTTTCTTGTAGCAAATTTCTAAATTGATAACTGAAAAATGGGTTTGGATACGGGCCTGTACAGCCCACAAAGAATCTGGTTCAGTAAGTAAATCTGACGCAGAATCGGAGTCCCATTGAAAAACCTCAAAAGCTTGACAGCTGCTTGAAAGACAGAAATCTGGGAATCTCCAAATACATACAAAAGAAGCTGAGAAGGAGAGAAACTTTATCATCAAGAGAGAACAGAGAACAGAAATAGAGATGGCAAAGCAAGAACAGAACTGTGAAGGAAGCTCAGTCGTCTCTGATCTCATCAACTTCCTCAACGCATCTCCCACTGCTTTCCACGCCGTCGGTAATCATCCAAATCTCTCTCTCTCTCTCTCTTCTTTTCCATCAGTTAGTATTTTCAATCCGAAGTTGGTTGCTTTGTTGGTTTTGAGTTTGAAATGTGGTTTTTTCAACTGCCTGACTTTGTTATCTGCTTCGATTTCTTTTGACAGACGAGGCGAAGAAGCGCCTACAAAACGCGGGGTACGAGCCAGTTTCAGAAAGAGAAGATTGGAAATTGGAAGCTGGTAAAAAGTATTTCTTCACCAGGAACTACTCCACCATTGTCGCTTTCGCAATCGGTAAAAAGTACGACTTCTTTTCATCCATTTTTTCCTTTGTTTATAGTTCAGTTCCAGCCTGCTTGCTTTCTTTCATTGATTTAAACTCGGTTTTTAAACTTAAAGATTCAGTTTTTCAGAAAGCTAATGTTGCTCATATTGTGGAGCTTATGTTTAGATATGTTGCTGGAAACGGATTCCATATAGTTGGTGCTCATACTGATAGTCCTTGTCTCAAATTGAAACCCGTTTCCAAGGTAATATTTTTTTTCTTTGTTTTTGGTATTTTGAATATAAGTATTAGGCAAATGAGCTGATGAAAAGTGGACACACTATGGAAACAAAATTGAACTTTGTTTTGGAATATGGGGGATTTGTGCAGGTAGCTAAAGGTGGGTACTTGGAAGTGGGTGTCCAAACCTATGGAGGTGGATTGTGGCATACATGGTTCGACCGTGACTTGACGATTGCAGGAAGGGTGATAGTAAGAGAAGAAAAAGATGGCTCTGTTTCTTATTCACATAAACTTGTCAGAATTGAGGAGCCCATAATGCGGATCCCTACTCTGGCAATTCACTTAGACAGGTAATCTTGCTGTGCTCAATATGTTATTCACATGTTTAATTGTTGAGTGATTTATGACTGGGACCGAAATATGCGTTGGTGATTCTTTTTTTCTGGTTAAATCGTGCTCTCTTACCTTTGTCAAATTTTTGATATAGAAATCTATATTTTCATTGTCTTTTGTCAGGGATGTCAGAGACGCATTTAAGGTGAATACGCAGAGTCATCTTCTTCCTGTCTTGGCAACATCAATCAAGGTAATCTTGGACTTATGCACTTTTATAATGTTGTTATACCAATGCTCATTAGATATGTAATGAGCATGGTATTTAATTATTGAAAGTGGAGTAGCTAATGTTTTTTTCTGGCAAAGTTTATCTTAGAATAGAATCAATATGCCCTCCTTTCTTTTCAATGTTGCTTTCTTTCACTCAATGAACTAACTTTTGTAGGCAGAGCTCAATAAAGTGGTTGCTGAAAATGGTCAGGCCAATAGCGATGCTCAGACTCATGGAAAGAAATCTAATGAGAGAAACACCTCAAATAACTCAAAGCATCACTCACTTCTACTACAGGTTAATTTATTATGGAACCTCGGCGTTCTTTTCAATGTTGGAGGATCAATTGATTTTTTGGTTGATTTCAAATTACATGAACGAGTTAGCTGGATAACAAGACAACTAGTACTCTTTTAGATGGTTTCAACTATGGTTATGCTTTTATGGTTATTATATTGTTTATCTTCTTTCTTTCCTTCCAGCTGCTTGCAGATCAGCTTGGATGTGAACCAGAACATATAAGTGATTTTGAATTGCAAGCATGTGATACTCAACCAAGCATAGTAGCTGGTGCCACGAAAGAATTTATTTTCTCAGGAAGGCTTGATAATCTCTGCATGACATTTTGTTCTCTAAAGGTAAGAAATTAATAAAAAATTTGTTTATGCTTTCTTCCTCTGCCAAGATTTTAATTGTTGGTTCATACTTCTGTTCTCTGCAGTACATTACCAGTATTGATTTCTTTTTCTTTTTTTTCCTTTTAGCAGAAGAGAAAGTATATTGTATTATGTGGTTTCAATTTGGAGCAGCTGATTCTTATTTCTGGCCTTATTGTTTACTTGCAGGCATTGATAGAATCTTCTGAAAGCAACCTTGAAGATGAGACTGGTGTTAGATTGGTGGCTTTGTTTGATCATGAGGAGGTTGGATCTGATTCCGCCCAGGGGGCTGGATCTCCAGCCATGTTAAATACTCTTTCACGAATTACAAACTCCTTTACCGCAGATTCTAAGGTAGTGAATCTTGGATGCCCGTTTAATTGTATGGTATTCTCGCCCTATTGGGTTTGTTTTGATACAAAAAAAGATTGTTAGTTGCTGCATTTCTTTGGTCATTTAGATGCACCAATCATTTGTGTCATAGTAAAGGATCCAGTGCCTTATGACATGCTACAATGGTTGTTTATTAATAACTGTGTTTTAACCTGGCTTGCTTATTTTTTTTGCACTGCACTGATATCTATCCAGCTGCTTGAGAAAGCAATCCAGAGGAGCTTTCTTGTGTCTGCTGACATGGCGCATGCCTTACACCCTAATTACATGGTATGTTGTTTGATGCACTAATGAATTTTCCAGTGCTATTAATGTACTAATGAATTTTCCAGTGCTATTAATTTTGCTCCATATTAATATAGGGATCCATTTCAGGAAAAACATGAAGACAATCATCAGCCCAAGTTGCATGGGGGACTTGTGATCAAACACAATGCAAATCAACGCTATGCAACCAATGCTGTCACTTCCTTAATATTCAGGGAGATAGCAAGGAATCATAACCTGCCAGTCCAGGTCAGCCTCTCCCTATTTTTGATATTCTGGTTTTGGAAATTTTAAGGTACTTAATTTCTAAGATAACGTAAAACATCATTCAGTACATGCACTTGATGCAAGGATAGTAGTACAAGGAATTGGAAAATTAAATAACTAACTGAAACCTAGCACTCTTTCTGTTAGTGGTCCGGAATCAGTCTGTGGTGAGAGATCTGATATGATAAAAGAATTGATGATATCAGAGCTTTGCTTCAAATGCAGGATTTTGTGGTTCGTAATGACATGGCATGTGGTTCAACCATCGGTCCCATTCTTGCAAGTGGAGTGGGAATACGTACAGTTGATGTAGGAGCACCGCAGCTGTCAATGCACAGCATACGAGAAATGTGTGCTGTTGATGATGTGAACTATTCATATGAGCATTTCAAAGCCTTTTTCCAGGAGTTCTCTCATCTGGATGAAAAGATTAAAGTGGACGCGTAGGTCTGCGGTCCTGCGTTCTTCATCTTCTGTGAAGTTCAGTTGAAAGGAGTCTGCCAGTTGCTGTTGTGAGGTCTTGCTCTCTACACCCACGGAAACCACAGTAATTGACTTAGCAATAAGCACTATGAGTGGGTAAAGATGCTATAGCAATGTGTCATAATGCCCCTATGGTTACTTTGGCGTTCATGCATTGTACCATGCTTGGAGCATTACATCTTTTAATTTATTTAGCCATTTACTTTAAATTACTGACTTTTGTTAGCTCGTTCCTAATCGTGGATAACATCTATAATGTCAACCTCTGAAATTCTAACTGCATCCAGAAAGTAAATCATAAAAAGCGAAAAAGGATTACATGACTTATTGTTCAGCCTTTCCTACATTTTAACAACTACGTCTTTGCACTTGGAGATAAGCAAGTGTTCTTGCTGCTGTATCTGTTGCTTCTCTCCCCATCTCCACAATTTCGTCTCGGTCCAAATCCTAATACCGTCTTTTTATCAAATGAACCAACAAGGTTTACTCTCATGTTGCAAAATCATGTATGGACCAACAAGGACTTACCGGCTAATTCATAAAAATTTGACATCAGAAAAGCTTTTTATGGTCCATATGAGCAAATATGCGCTGTAAGGAAAATCCCCATATGAGCTATCAGGGCTTATCAGGCTTTAGAGAACTTAATAAAGAGCATCAGAAGGTCCAACTAATTTATGTTTAAACTAATATAAGCAGAGCAGTCTTTGCAGTACAAGTAACGGTACATAGTGAAAAACATTGCACTATAACTATGGTTCAGTCGCACACCGTGCTATAAAAAAGTGATTCCATAAATCTTATTTGACAAGTTACTCCTCTCATTGAACTATCAAGAGTTGACAACAGCCGGTACTTTCAGTTTGAAATTCAATAAAATAAGCGGAAAATCAGCAGGTTCAATTGTATATCAGGATGCAGATGGACAAAAATACTATCAGGATGCAGGTGGACAAAAATACTACAGCTTTTGGATAAATCATCCAAGTTGAAAAGGGAAGGGACCCTTCTACGAAGAAAGCGCTTTCTGAACCTCGACAGTGACCTCTTTGGGAGGTTTCTCAGCTTGCAGATTGGCAACAATGCCTTTCTGGGAATAATAACCAATAACCTGCAAGTCAAAATAATGAAACCCATTACAGAAAATAATGAAAACCAAAGGGAAACCATACGAAACATGAATTGGAGTAATAAACAAGAAAGTTGAGAAATATATACAGCACTTGAACAGAAAACAAAGAAGATTTTGACAGGAAGCAAAGAATACAACATTTCAAAGAAGGATATCATCCCAGAAACAGGGTGAGATATGTCTGCACAACTATGTCCTACCAAATCCAATGTTTCCGGCACTTATTGCCTGAGGTTTTCAGATTATCTATCACTTAACTCACTACAGCTCTACAAGAGAACAAACAATAAAACAGATGCCTCAAAAAGAAAAACCACACATACGCATCATCATCATCATTGCCACCTGAAGACGAATCATAAAACACATTTTGCACAAGAAAACCACCTAATAATAATATCACCATTCCAGAATGTAGATCATGCACATTTATACACAAGGGATAACTTCATTAATTATTTTCTCATCCAAATGTGTCAAGACAAATGTAAAGAAGAAGTCATACTGGTTCAGTTTGCTTGTGAAATGCTTCCAGCCTTGACTTGAGAACAGCTGCAGTATCATCCTTACGTTGAATCAGAGGTTCTCCAGTTACCTTGAACAAAACAAGAACCAAGTGAAGCATGTTTTTTCAGCACAAATTCATCTAAGAGCATAACTGAAGCTCATGCATACAAGCAGATTGACATACACTATTGGCTTAGCTACTGAATATTTAACTTCCTCATTACACCTACCATTAATATGCTGTTTTTGTTTCAATAGCCAATGTTTCTTGCCTGTCTCTTTTGATATTCTTAGATGCATGAACAATGTTTTTCAAACCAAAAGACCAAAAAACAGAAAAGAAATTTGCCTCCTTACATCATCAACACCAGGAGTCTTGGGTGGTGCAAATTTCGTGTGGTAGGTTCTACCACTGGATGGGTGTATCCAGCGACCAGTAATCCTCTCTTCCAAGATTGCGTCATCAATTGCAAAGTTGAGCACCTTATCAACTTTAGCTCCCTGATTTTTCAGCATCTCATCTAGCTGCATTAAAATGAATATGACCATACTTACTGTTAGAGCATTAGGGGGCACCCACACAAGACACTTTTGAACATGAGAAACTAAAGAAGTGTTGATTGCAACATGTATTCAGATGCCAGAGAATGGAACACCTTCTCTGCTTGGACCACAGTCCTTGGAAATCCATCAAGAATGAAACCTTTTTGACATGAAGGCTTCTTCATTGCTTCATCTATGATGCCAACAACCAAGTCATCAGAAACAAGCTCTCCCTGAAAAACAGTTACATTATACCATATCAGCAATTCTGTGGGAGATAAAAGAACACAGTACAAAGGAAAAACTTATGGTATAAAACATACAAAGATGAGTTTCTACCTTATCCATAGCCTCTTTAGCTTTAATCCCGAGAGGAGTCTTTGCAGAAACGGCAGCTCTCAACATATCACCAGTAGCCAAGTGGCACAAGCAATAGTCATCCTTAATTATAGGTGATTGGGTGCCTTTTCCTGACCCAGGTGGGCCTGCACCATACAACTTGTATGATTACACACATGAAAACAGCAAGGAAAGAAAGAAAACACTCCTAGCATGAAACCCAGCAAACTGTGAGAAAAATTTCTTAAAGCCTGGAAAAATTTGGCACTTCATGTATCACCACCGTAGGAAGCAACATAGGAAAGACACATTTAAAACTCATAGATTTCCCGATTTTCTTTTCAGGGAGGGAGGGCGGAAATAAGATCTCAAATTAAAACAAACACACTGATACACACAGGGATACCTACATGTGTATACAATGTATTATAGGTGGCATGCAGGCATGCCAGAATTCGTCAGCATGACATCCTTTGGGAACGAATGTCTCAGCATTTTACTGCATAATAGAGAATACAATAGGAAGAGAGAGAAAGAGAGATGAATAGACAATTGATCACCCTATCCGTCTACAGCTTTAAAAAATGAAAACAAACAAAACAACCAGGATCAAACCATCAAAAGTCTAAAATCTCAATCACCATCTGGTTTATAGGTACTGAGAGCAAAAGGGCAACAACTGAAAGACATAATTGAACTGTCAACCGAAAAAGAAAAGACATAATTGAAATAAATCAAGCCACTTTCAGCAACCTTATTTTCTTCCTTGGTAATATGATTCCAACTATCCATAGGATTTTCCTACATTTTCTCAGTAACCAATCACAGGAAAACAATAAATCGAGGGAACAGTCGCAAGTACATCTCAGTCAGGAATGAGAACAAGACAACGATAAACACATAAAAGAAGCTAAAAGGCACCAAAATTTTGAAACATAAACGCATCGAATTCTCGGATCTGGTCGGCTCTTAAAAATCCAAACTCGACAAAAAATTGAGAACAAAATAAAAGCTTTAAACTCAAACAACACGCATATATGCATATGAAAGAGTATAATGAAGGATGGATAAGTAGGGATTCACCAATGAGAATGAGGCGTTTGTCAGGCTTGGTGGAGCATTTCATACGACGAAGGAGCTCGGTCATGAGATCAACGGAAGGCACATCTTCCAAGTTAGCTGCAGCAGAAATGCTTGCCATGGCTGATTTTTTCTCTGTGCTTAGGTTTAGGGTTTTTTCCTCACTCTGGAAATTACGCTAAGGGAGAAAGAGAGAGATGTTTAAGGTGAGGTGGTGGTTGTACTTGTTCGGACTTCGGACCCTCCAATGCTTCAAACACAAGCAGCGGTTTTACCTACCAGGTCAATGAAATTACTGTTTTGTCCCTGACCCTTGGATCTGCTATGAAAATCTGAATGAATGGACAATTTTTCTTTTTTATTTATTTATTAAATTTTGATAATGAAATAAGAAATTCTGAATGGGCAAATGGGGCATTGCTCTAGAGAGTCAAAAGGACAAAAGCATTGTCAAAATACGAATTTTCTTAAAATTTTAAAAAATAGGGAAAGAGTCAAATTGTGATTATTTTTTTCCTTCCCAATACATTTTTATGCGAATCCGGCCTATGCTTCGGATTCAATCCATTGAATAATTAACAAAACAAAGAAAAGGTAAAAGGTAAAAAGAGAAGCAAAAACAAAAGAGAACTGATTTTGACACTTTTTTAAAAGTTTTGTTCTCTGGGAAATCAGTTGCAGCTAGGAATTGAGATTGCATGCCTTGCTTCAGGCATGAAGGGAATCACATTACAAACACTTTGCATATAATCCTGAACACAAACAGCTTTATAGAACGAGAAAATCGTCGAAAGCCTATATTGTACTACAACTTCTATTGTCTGCACAACTATAATATGATCCTAAGATCACAACCATTGCCAAATCCGCAGAACACAGATGTTAAAAATAAATTGAAATTAAGAGAAAGTGCAACTAGAAAGGTTACATAGGGAGTATTCAACATGGTTCATACTGATAACATAAAAAGCTACCAAGAAAATGTAGAACAACAAAACAGCATAATGGCAGCAATCCAGGCTATATCCACATGTCCCTCAAGCACCAGAACATTCGTCAAAATTTAGTCGGTGTCTTCACTTCTTGATTTTTTCTTCTTCTTCTTGACATCGCTGGCAGCCTGTAGATCCTCTCCATTTTCATGTTTACTCTTCTTCTTTTTCTTCTGTTTGGCTGCTCCATCCTCCTCAACATGTCCATTATTCTCATCCTCCATGGGTTGATCCTCCTGATCCAACTTCCGCTTGTCCTTCTTCTTCTTCTTTTCAGATTTACCCTCACCGGCATCTCCATTTGTAGTCTCAGCTCGTTCATCCACAGCCATATCATCACCATTAGCTGCAGCCTTTGACTTCTTCTTCTTGCTTTTCTTCCCTGAAGCTTCAGTAGGAACTTCTTCTGTCTCCATCTCTGTGTCTGCACAAGTTACATTAAAAGTATAATATCAAAATTACATGAAAAAAGGCAGGTCTATAACTAGGAGCAACAGCAAGGTATTGTCCCAGTCCTCACATTATATCATTGACAGAATTCATATGCCGCCACAAAAATCATATTCCTATGCATGTACTGATGTGAAATGAAAAAATCTAGCACTATATTCTCTTGGTTACGCACCTTTGCTTTGAGTATTCTCGATTGCAGATTTCATGACATCAATGTTTTTGCGAGGTGCAACACCCTTGTCATAAAAGTCAAGTCGCTCCTCAACTTGCTCACGAAGTTTCTCCCCAAAAACAGTAGTGCTACTATCTGTACCACGGAAGGTTACAACAAAATTATTTATGCAGAAAAAAAAAAACTGCAACGCATAAGAAAAGAAAAGTTAGCCAGCCAAATATTTGTATGAGGAAGGCTCGAACTCACCTGCAAAGCAATCAATGCGAGAAGCAATAGAGCACTTGTTTGCAAGATAACGAGCCATTCGGCCCTTGTTCCTTGCAGATGCTCGACCAATAAAGGATGAATGAAATATAAGTCCATATTTGGGTGTGTTTCCCCTGGTTTTTAATGCCCTGAGGAGAAGAACAAAAGAGTCAACGTAAGGACTTAAAAAGAATCAAGAGGATTCTTTTTACTGGTTTCTTGTCATACAGAAGTAGCAGATCCAACTTTCATGTAGCGTCTTTAGGAAAGGCAAAGTAAAAGCACCTGAAGAGAGCTTTCTCTGCCCCCAGGATCTGAAGGGTAGAAGAAGGGCATTTAGCCAAATTTGTAAGACTACCAGCATGAGAAATCAAACGCGCTCCAACTACTTCACCAATTAAGGAGGCCAAATTGGGTGCAATGTCATTCATTTTAGTAACCAGATAATCATAAAGCCTTTTCCTGTACTCAGATAGGTCCATTACCCTCTGTGCAAATTGCTGAACATTAATCAGGTCAATTGGAGACAAATCCTGACCTGTAAAAAAATTAAAACAAAAATAACAATAATGATGAATAAGTTGATAGAGAAACACATAAATGAAAGGCAATACATCATGAAATTCTACCCATGGATGCTTTGGCAGCTTCTACAATCTCCTTTGCCTTATCTTCATCTCCAACAATGTCAGTCAATTCTGGAAGTTTGTCTTCAGACAATGTTGACTTGTCTTCTATAAATTTTGACACTTTAGCATAGAGATAATTGTCATTGACAATCTTCACCAATTCAGGAAAATGCCAAGAGTACCATTCTCTGCAGAGAAGTGACAAATAAGAATACACAAAACTATTATTTCTTTTCTTTTCAATTTCATACCCAAGCTTTATCAAAATAATACAATTAACAAATTCTTCCGAAGGATATAACAGGTTGAATGTTTTGGAAATGGTCTAAGGTAAGAAATCATAATTCCAACTACTGAACTTATAATATGTGTAAATGCCAGTATCATACCTGACTCTCATGGAGAAGGAATTGACATCCTTATCAAGGGTATCTAGAAGGAAGATTGCTTGAATCACCATATTGTCAACTCGGTTCACATTGAACTTGACCTTTGCCCTGCTATAACTGTGCCCTAAACCAAGCTGGGCTTTCTCTAAGTCCCCAGGCTAAGGTGAGGAGAGAAGGAAAAACACAAAAAAAAATTGAATTATGAAAAATGTTAGAATATTGTCTTCAAATATTAAGCCCACAAAAAGGGAAAAAAAAAAGGAAAGAAGAAGAAGAAAGAAATTTATTGTGAAAAAATAGGATGTGTAGATAAGAAAATTCAAACCTTTAGGTCCTTAATAAACCTATCAAAATGTAGCCGCACTCCACGAATCAGCTCAAGGACAAAATCATTACTTTGGCAAGGAATTTTTGTCGCTTCAAAGATGTGAGACCCGATCTTAGGTTCAGCCAACCCCAAACTGAACTTTGGCTTCTTACCATCCTTCACTTTTGGGAGATTAATTTCCAAAAAGTTTCTCAACTCATCAGTCATAACCCCTGAAATGCAACCAAAATTAATAAGCAATACCCTTTTAGTTGACAGAACCTCACCAAAAACCAAATTAAATGAGTAAACGTCATTTAAATGCACCAAGCAACCCAAGAGAAGCAAAAATATACTTCAACTATAAACATTCTAATATATTATATAATCTATTAAGCTAGTTCCAATTTCACATATGCAACAGGAGATACTCTAGCAAGTTTTTTTTGAGAAGAAAGGAAAAGGGAAAAAGTTGACCTTCAGTACCTCAACACAACCAGTTAGACCATTTAAGCATTCCCCACATAGAAAACCCAAACAACCCAATCAGTAAAATCTAAAGCTCCAATATCTTCAATTTTTGCAAGGTTTTCAATAAACCAGGCAAAATGCAAATTGATTTAGTTGGGTCGGATTTGTGATCAATTTCTTGAAAGTTGAAAGTGGAAACAAAAGCCTAATGGATGCATAAATCATTTCCCTTCATATTCCCATTAAACAAAGGATTAAAAACAAACACACAAGCAGAATAACATTCAAACTTGAGCGTCCATGAGTCACCCCAACTAAGCAACTTAAGAATCAAACCGAAACAACGTCAATAAAAAAAACCCTAATCAATTACATGCATAAACAAAACAAAAATCTAAACAAGCTTCATTTATCTACCTTCAGAGATTGAGTTGCATTGGTTAAGGGCATCGAGGGCAGACTCAAATGGGTGGAAAGCTGTGAGTTGGACCACCTTCCCGAAGCGGTTTAGGTCGGAAACGGAGCTACGAACCGCGTCGGTGTTCTGACCGATTTCGTCGATGCCATGAGCTAGGAACAGAGAGTAGCCTGAAGCTGCTTCATAGAGCAGGTAAAGAGCCATCGGGCAGTCGAAACGCAGGCGTTTAGAGCTTCAACTTTATCCGCGGAACCCTCTCCTAGTTTCTCTAAAACAGTCAGTATCGGCGTTGTATAGAGAGGGAAGAAGAGCTGAAATTGGAGGGGGTTTAGGGTTTAGGGTTTTTTCAGCGAGGAAGAGTGGGCTTTGCTTATGTAGGTGGCGATAAGTCGTTCTGGTCCGTTGGATGTATATACCGAGCTCCACTCTTGGTGAATCCAACGCTTTGTATGACATGGAGAGGTGTGGGTCCCGAGTGGGGAGCTTGTTCCTGTGTGTAGGGTAGTGGGGATGATGGTTTTCTATTTTTTTCTTTTTTTTTATACAAGCTATATTGAGGGTGTAAAAATCAAACTTAGGCCTTCTCCAACCCATTTAGAGCTAAACCCAAATTTTCCTCCGCCAAAAAGTAACTATTTGGATTTTGACCGGACTTAAACCATTTTTTCCCCCGACCCTTCGCTACTCAAATTTTAATTTTATAACTTTATTAAATTGTTTAAGAATAGTTTAAGTTTAAAAAAAAAAAAAATGGATTCTTCATTTAATGTTTTTAAATAACTTCATATTTTATTTATTTTTTGAACAATTTGACCTAAAAAAAATGAAATTCCACAAATATAATTTTTGGTAGATTATTTGAGAAATGGGTGGGTATTTATAGAGTTTGGAGTGAGTTTTGGGGGTGGATCTAATTTAGATTAATTTAAAATGTTATTTTGATTGTTGGATTTAAATTTCAGATATTGGATTTTTTTTTTCCTTAAAAATTTGAATTTAATCTAGATTGTTGATGTAGCCGTTGGATTCCAACTGTTACATCACATGCGCGCGGCATGTGTTGCGAGGAGGTCTGCGGTAGTAGCACGGGGCCTTTCACAACCGCTTGCACATGGCCTGTGTTAGCTTTTATGAGGCTCAAAAAATTTCTAATCTAGGCAATAATTGGACTGGTATTTGGCCCCAAATGTAAGTTTTCCCAAATTTTGGCCCCTTAATTCTCTTAGGTTGGGGGGGGGGAACTTGAGCTAAATTTTGGGATATTTTGGGTTTGGCCTCATGGGTTGGAGATGGCCTTAGAGTGCAGGATTATAAGTAGCGGTGTTTTCGGTGCGGTTATCGTACCAAAATGGCATAACCGACAACCGACTGAGATCTTGCAGTGTAGTCAAAATCTAAACCATCGTCGAACCGCACAACGCCGGTTACCGAGGGTGATGGTTACCATGGTGGCAATTAGTATCAATTAGTTACTAAATTTGCAAAAAAAAAAAATTAAAAAACTGAGAACATAGTAGGAGAGCGGCGACATCGACGTCGTTAAGGCAAAGGGGAGGGTAGGTTATGGACTTGGTGTGGCGTTGTCGTTGAGGTAGAGAGATCGAGACAGAGAGTGGTGGCAACGTTGTTGAGACAGAGATCGAGACAAAGAGAAAGAGAAGAGGAAGAAGATAACCAATAAAGAGAGAGAGAGAGAGAGAGAAAGAGAGAAGACTGAGGGAGAGAACAGAGAGAGAAAGAAGAGGAAGAAGACCTCTATATCGGTTTGGTTGAGGTTGCTAACGAATTTGGTATCCTGCAACCACATTTGCACTATTTTGGCTTGATCGTCCAATTGCAACCAATTGTTGGCCGAAAAACGGCAATTTCTGGAATCTACGGTCCAACCGCACAACCCTAGTTATAAGCCCCTTATTCCCCTTATTTTTCTTTCTTTTTTTTTTGGTAAGTTATGGTTGTATATTTGGATAGGCATATAGGGATTGTTTAGTGCCTATAATATAATTGGATTAGATTCGTCACTAAATCTAAGGTAAGAAGGAAATGACAGTAGAGGTCACTTAGGTGAATGATTTTTCATTTTGGCGGGATTATGAGGAATAAAGTGTTGATATCTTACCATTTTGTGAAGATGATACATGATAAGTTTTTATTTTTTATTTTTAATGATCTATCTTCTTCAACTATATCAAATTTTTTTGATTTATTCCTTTTAACATGCTTCAAATATAGAGAGTGATCCTATCCAATTCAATCATAAGCACTACACGAGCCCTAATTACATTTATTTGAAATTTTTGGCTTCTTAGTGGTTTTTTTTTTTTTTTTGCTTTTTGTTTTTGTTTTTTTTTCCGGTAATAGTGGTACGAGGGGTGAAATAGGAACCGTAATGGTAAAATATGTTGTGCTCCCCATCCAACCTCCAATGCTAATTCGAAAAACTGGAGTGACATAAATATTTAGAAGCCAAGGCAGTGCGACGCACAAGTAAAATTTGCAAAAGAAAGCATAACCCAGCAACTCCCTGTGACCCGTTTGGTCTCATTGTCGGGCCTTAGTTTCTTGGCTAAGCATTGCTTGGGCCCGACGGCATTGGGTTCTTCTGGGGCTACTGTTATTTCTTTATTTTAGTTATGATGATGATAAAAGCTAGGTCAGATTGTCATCCTTTAATATCATAACTCGTATCACACGAAGACCCCCCAATTTCAAATTATTTCACAAAACTTCTTTTCATTGATTGTTCGTTTAAAATTTGATGATTTCATAAATAAAAACTTAGTTAAATTAATGACATATTAACCTCAGTGAACGTATGGCAATCTAATCTCAAGGGCTAATTTTGTCATTTGAAGAAATTTTTTAATATAAAATATCAATCTTGAGACGAAAAAATCAACGAAAAGGGATTTTACGCAAAAACTGAAAAGCTCAAGGGGTGTTAATTAGTGTAAATAACTCATATCATAATTCCATCAAATGCTCATTTCTTAAAGATCTTCCTTGATGCTAAAGGTGTATGAAATCATGAATTGGTAGATAGATAGATAGACAAATATGAAAATGATGTACATATATGTATAGTCAGTTTTGTCATCACCAATATGGCCATGCACATGCAACTATTTATCCCCATCCAAAAACCTCTGTAAGATTCATATCATTTATAACATTTTTAAATGCTGCTTGCTTCGCTGTGTTGTTACCTGTCTGTGTAAAACCTAACGTTGGCCAGGCCAGTCTGAGTCTGAGCAACCTGAGATGATATCGGGGTTGGCTTCATATTATTATGGATGAGAATCGAGATGGGATGGGAGGGTGGGACAGCAGAAGATGATGTGCTCTGGCTCTGCTCTCTGCTCTGTGTAGATAGATATGGTTTTCTTTTCACATGGGGTCTCATAATAATAAGATGTCGTACTAGATGCGATTCTTCTTCCACTCATTGTCGTTTCATGGTGGGGAGCCCTCACGACATGGCCTAGACTCTACCTAATTACTTTACTTGCATATAATTCATGTGGGGTTTTCCTTTTTTTACTTTTATACCTTTAGTTTTTAATCACATTAATATATAACTTACTTACGATGAATCTACCGTTGATTAATAATGCATAATGATGAAAAAATGATATATATAATCACCAATTATATACCATATCTATCAGCTGTATTTACTTGGGCTAGAGGGGAAACAAAAAATACGCCTGCATGCGACAATCACGTTGGGCAAAGAATGTCTCGGCAGTCTTGCTATGATGAGCCTTCTCATGTTGCCAAGTTTGAAGATGCATATTGTCATCGTCTCTAATTACTGAATTCTTATTATAGAAAAAGTGAATTTTCATGCTACGGACAGTCACCTACGCATACATGAGCATGAATGAACATATCATAACTATTGATGCATGTATCTATAACTCGCAATACATTATAGGTCAAAATTATATTCACATCAGCACACGTGGGCGAGCACGACTACTCTCTCTTGGCGTGTAACGGGTAGTTGGCAGAGGGGTACTTATTCCGTTTAAGTGGTATATATATATGAGTCTTTTATGTTTAAGTGGTATGTGGGAAATTATGTTTACTCTAGATTTTCCAATAACTTTTGATTGACTGAATATGTTTGATGGTTATAGAATTAGTACCCACCAAGCATGTGATATATTCGAAATATGATGTAGGCTCATCACACAAAGATGCTTTAGGGAAAGAGACCTTTAAAGCCGTCTACGACTAATGGTGAGAGTGGCATGTTGTTTTGAGGCTTATATATACCACATATATTTACTTGAAAGTGCTAGCTCGCTTTCTAAAAGATGCAAACAAAGCCCTGTAGTGGTTCATGTTGAATTGACTTAGTCAATCTTGCAAATTGTTCATTTCATTTTAGTCCCATTTCCTCTGAATCTGAATCTGAAGCCGAAGCTGGGCTTTCTTTTGTGATTGTGCCAAAGGATGCTAATCTATATCATAATTTGAGCTTCTACTTGTCAATATCTTATCCCTTGGTTGTACTATTATGGCATGTTTACTTATCACGAATAGGTGAAGTAAGGAATTGGTATGGGAAGAAGTGATTCCCATTAAGTTGTTTACTAACCACATGAAATCAGCATAGGAATGAGAATTATAAACTTATAAGGTTATTTTTGGTAGAACATAAATGGGAATCGGATCAATGACCATCACTGGTTGATTTGATTCATGATTTTGAAGGCATGTGATTACAAATTTGTTTATTCATTCCTTATGTGTTAGTAAACATGGGAAAGTCGGGAATCCGAATAATTCCATTTCTTCCCAAATTGCTTTATCCATAACTGCTAAGTCAGAGAAGCACCTAGTCATATTAAGTACAACAAATATCAAAAGAATTTTAAACTTTAGTATACACCAACTGACATGAAAGGTGATTTTACAATGCTTTTTGTTCATATCTAATCCCATCATATGATAATTTTCCAATCATAATATATAGCTAAGAAAACTTCTGGCAACAAGTCTAGTATTATTGTGCCCTTGTATTTTCAATGAACTGCTGCTGATATCGTTTCTACACAGCCTGTAAAGTTATATGGCAAGTTGTTGCTTGCAACCACAGGTTCCAAGGACATGCATTCCTTTTACCAATCTACCCTTGTAAAGATTAGTCATAATGCAATTAAAAGAACAAAAGGAGAAAAGAAAAGAGGAGTTGGAACACAAACATCCGCGTAGCGTCATCAACCAACTGAAAAAGAAAGAGAGAGCAGAAAGCTAGGTAAAATTACACATGCAGCTATAAAACTTATAACTTAAAAACTCAACCTTTTCATGAGCCAAAAACAAGGTGACAGATGGATGTTTCTACGTTTTCAAGTTGCTGCTGAAAGAGGGCAAGAATACTGGTTTGTAGAGTATAAGAAGAAGTAAATCCTACTCCATTAATGCTGCAGACAGAGAGCCCTGATCTTCGAGAAAGAACACCATGTGGGAAAACTTTAATGCCATAAATTGAGGTACCCCACTTTCTCACTTCTTTATACAACAAAACCTTTATCAGCAGCAAAGCAAGTTTCTGGTATAATTCAAAAATAAAATAAAAAATCAATGGTTATTGCATTCATTTCACATGCTGCTCAAATGGATATTTATTTTTCCTTCGTGGGTATTGCTTGTTTTGCTTGAATGCAGTCAAATAAGTTGAGTGATCATCTTGGGACTTCAAAGCTTCTGCCTTTTCCCTGTCTCTGCCCTGCTTCTGCTGCGTGGAACTCTCTCAAATGCTTGAGGAATCGTTTGTCTTTTAGCTTGTACGGAACTTGCTTTGTTTTGTCTTTTCCTCTGTTTCCTGATTTATTGTAGTTTCTCTTCTTCACAACTGTATTTCTGTTTCATCTTCAATGAGCCATCCCCTGTTTCAACTCTGTTCGACTAATAATTTTTTGCCTTAATTAAGTATTGGGTTCTTCTTTTGTTTTGGTGCAGATTTCAGACATTTGATTTCTTCATGGGCATTGCTAAGAAAAGGGAATTTTTCATGGGGTGTTGTAGATCATTTCTGCTATTCTGTTTTGCAAGTAGTTTCTTTTTTCTGGGTACTCATCAACTCCAGTCGTCTCAGACCCAAGTGCTTATGCAGCTAAGGAAGCATTTAGAGTACCCAAGGCAACTGGAAATTTGGAATGATCACACCATAGATTTTTGCTCCATTTCTTCACTTTCACAAGTACACATGACATGCTTGGACAATCTTGTCACTGAGCTCAGAGTTCTGGGTGATAAGCCAGCAAAAGTTAGTGACTTTAATGGCTTTTCAATTCCAAACCAAACTTTATCAGAGGCCTTCTCTTTGGATTCTTTTGTGACTACTTTGGCAAGGCTAAACAGTTTGAAAGTCCTCAGTCTTGTGTCTTTGGGCATCTGGGGTCAACTTCCAGATAAAATTCATAGGTTGTCTTCCCTTCAATATCTGGACTTGAGTTCAAACTACCTCTTTGGCTCAATTCCACCCAAGGTTTCTGCAATGGTGAAGCTTCAAACTCTTAAATTTGATGACAATTTCTTAAATGAAACTATGCCCAATTGGTTTGATTCACTCTCCAATATTACAACTCTAAGCTTGAGGAACAACCAGTTGAAGGGTTCATTACCAGATCTTAGTAGCTCAAGCAGCTTACATGTGCTGGATTTGAGTGGGAACAAATTGAATTCTAAGCTACCCTCAATGCCAAAAGGGTTGGTCATGCTTTTGCTCAGCAACAATTCCTTCTCTGGTGATATTCCTAAGGAATATTGCACACTAAGTGGACTTCAACACCTTGATATGTCACACAATGCAATCAGAGGCACACCTCTTGCTGCAATATTCTCTTTGCCCAATATGAGTTACTTGAACTTGGCTTCAAATTTGTTGAGTGGTTCACTTCCAGGCCACCTAATCTGTGGAAGCAAACTTGATTACATTGATATATCAAATAATAGTTTGACAGGTGAGTTGCCCTTTTGTTTGAGAACTGAATCAGAAAAGAGAGTTGTTAAGTTTGGTGGGAATTGCTTATCCATTGGTATGCAGCATCAGCATGAACTATCATATTGCAAGGAAGTGAGCCCAAAGGAAAAACAATCTGGAGGAAAAGATGTAGGGATCTTGGTGGGTGTGATTCTAGGATTAGTTGTGCTTACAGTGCTTTTGGTTTTAAGCTTTATCATTTTCTGTAGAAGATATTGCCCTCGGGGGATATCGGAGCAGCATTTACTGCATAAATCAGTGGAAGATAATTCAGCAGTAGGGCTCTCCTCTGAGATTCTAGCAAATGCAAGTAGGTCAACCACTAACAAGAATGTAGATTTCTATTTTCTATTTTCTTTTTCTCTCATTTTCTGTAGCAGATCCTCATTTAAAAATGGATGAACATTTAAGCTGGCCAAGTTGGTTCTTTTATGTTCTTCAGGGTATATTTCACAAGCTGCAAAAGTAGGTATACAAGGTCTCCCAGTGTGCAGGACATTTGCTTTAGAAGAGTTGATGGAAGCCACCAACAACTTTGACAACTCTGTCTTTTTGGGTGAAGGTTCATATGGGAAGGTATAGTTTCATCTCTGTCTTAATTGAGCCCTTTCAATCACTTTAAATAATGATTGTGATGCCAGCTTTACTAAACCAACAAACCATTAAAACTTTAATCTGCATTATAAGCGTCTTTCCTTTGACATTCAGCTTTACAAAGGAAGACTATACAATGGGACTCTAGTTTCTATAAGGTGCCTGCCATTGTCAAAGAAGTACTCAATTCGAAACGTTAAACTCCGGTTGGATCTGCTTGCCAAGCTCCGTCACCAGCATTTGGTATGCCTTTTAGGCCACTGCCTCGATGGTGGTGTACGCAATGATTACAGTCCAAACAAGGTCTATCTTGTATCTGAATATGTGCCAAATGGGAACTTCCGTGCTCATCTCTCTGGTAAATTTAGAAAACCAGATATGAAATTTTCTTGGTGCATTTGAATTGTGCTCTCACCTCTTTTTGCATGTGTTTTCCAATATAATTACTTCTTCATATTTGCTTGCATATGTTTCAATTCTCAACTACAGCAGCCCATGGGACTGCACTTGGCATGCTGATTCTTGCAATTATTAATATGGTTAAAGATACAAAATTATCATCTTTTCATCATGTTAAAATAGTTTATGTACATGAATGGGTACTAGATTCGACAAAAAAGTGGAATCTTTTCAAACTCAAGTCAAGCTCATAGACAGTTTCCTTCAAAATTGATTTGGCCTGAAAGTTCTCTTTCATCAAATTATTCTTTTTGGAGAACAACTTCTTTATTACAACAATGTATGTGTAGGGAATAGTCCTGGAAAGGTTCTCGACTGGTCAGAGAGATTGGCAGTTCTAATTAGTGTGGCCAAAGCTGTGCACTTCTTACATACTGGAATTATTCCTGGTTTCTTCTGCAACCGATTGAAGACGAACAATATCTTGCTAAATGAGCATGGCATGGCAAAATTGAGTGACTATGGGTTGTCCATTCTTGCAGAAGAAACTGATAAATCTAAGGTACGTCTCGTCGTAACAAAGAAATGATTGGTGCCCCTGCAATTGTGTAGTTCTGATTTGTGTTCTTGGTTTGTAGGCAAACGATGGCCTTTCATCATGGTAAGATTTACATCAATTTCTGCTGTGTATTTGCTGCATGTTTTCCGTAGTGAGTTATTTGATTGTTGAAATTTAACCACAAGGTTGACTCTAATTATTGTGTTCAGGCAAATGACAAGTTTAGAGGATGATGCTTATAGCTTTGGATATATATTACTTGAGGCTCTTGTTGGACCTTCCAAGTCTGATAGAAGAGAGGCTTTCATGCAAAATGATATGGCAAGTAAATTAATTTCTGGCCTAATGCAGATCTTACTAATATATGCTACTATCAACAATCATGCCCTCTTTCTGACCATAGATGGATATTGATTGATCATAATTCTGCAATTTTTTTACAGGCATCTCTTAATAGCCTAGACGGCCGGAAGAAAATAGTTGAACCAATTGTTCTAGCTACTTGCTCACAAGAATCCTTATCGATCGTGATCTCTATAACAAACAAATGTATTTGTCCAGAGTCAAGCCGTCCATCTTTTGAGGACATCCTTTGGAACTTACAGTATGCAGTTCAAGTCCAGACCACGGCGGATGGAGACCGAAGATTTGACTCTGCATCACATCAATATTGAGTTGTAAATTTGTTGCTACTCCAAATCATTGCCATTTCAGTATTGTAATTTTCAATTTATAGCATACTTCTGAGGCTAAATAAACAAAGGAATGTGCCTCAATTTGGTAGTTTTTACTAGATTTGTAGTTGGGATGTGTATCTGATCTACTTCCTCTAAATATCAATTGTGTTGGATCAGGGAAAGAAACTAGAATTGACTGAACAAACTACTTTGTTACTGTAACTAGTTACCACAAACATTCCTCCACCCATTTACCGCAAAGTAAGTTTTTTTTCCCACTTTGGTTTCTGTTAATATTTGGAGGGGTAGGCTCAACAAACACCAAGATAATAGCAGCCTATGAAAATGAACCTTCAAGGCAGTCTTTGTTCAAGCTCTCTTCCCCTCAACATAATATAGGAAACTCTCTATGCAAGGAAGGAGTCAGGCATGATTAACTATCTAGAGCTTTATTGTGTATAAGATTTTGAGTACATCAAGCCTGACCCTTTAGGAATTTAGGGAGCCACTTAGCTGACACTTTAGGAATGCGCTTGAGATTGTCTTTGTAATCGATATAATAAACCCCAAATCTTGTGGTATAGCCATCCCCCCATTCAAAGTCGTCAAATAGAGCCCAGTGGAAATATCCTCTGACATTCACACCGCTCCTACAGCAAAAACAGAAATGACAAGTAAATGGAGCATCCAACTCAAAACCAATTGACAATGGATGGAGATGCCCAAGATCTTTAAGCTTTTGAGTTAATCTTCCATGTAGGAAACTCTCAAAAGCAAACATGCAATATTGCATTCAACTCTTGACAAGTTGATCTTGATCAGTACTTAATAGAGTAAATAAGTTAGTCACTTACTTGATTGCCATCTTGATCCGGTACAAATGCTGAAGAATGCATTGAATTCTATGTGGATCCTTAAGTGCTTCATCAAGCCTTAGTTTATCGTCCCTTTTTTCGGTTATTCCATTTTCAGTAATGTAGATTTTAGGGTCTCTGTACTCTTTCTTAATGAACTCTAGAAGTTTCTGCAGACCTTGGGGATAACTGTAGAGGAACTTGCTTCCTGAAGCCTGCACCGTAAATGAGTTTTAAGTTTTGCTACATTTTTATATATATAGAAAGATGGAAACTACAGAACTGTCCAATTTATTAACATAACAAGTTTTGTTACAATATTTATATTTGTACAACGGAGATATAAATGGTAATAGCCTTAAATAATAGTAAATACAGAATATTTGCACAGCAGGTCAATGGTTAGGAGTGAGAAGAATCAGATCCTGATTCTCCCTAGATGAGTGCATTTGCGTTGACACCCCCCCGCAAACTGAGCGGCCTAGGACGAACAAGTTTGTTACAGAGGAGATGATGACGCGGTTTGTGAAGAGGCTTAGTAAGGAGATCAGCTGGTTGATCAATAGAGGGAATGAAGCACACTTGATGACTACCAAGAGCAACCTTCTCACGAACAAAGTGATAGTCGAGTTCAATGTGTCGCGTTCGAGCATGAAAAACCGGGTTGGCAGCCATATAAGTGGTGCTAAGGTTGTCACAGTGCATGAGAATAGGAAAGTGCAATTGGACACCTAACTCAAATAACAGTGAACAGAGCCACGAGGATTCGGCGCAAGCATGAGCAAGAGCACGGTACTCAGATTCTGCACTTGAGCGTGAAACAGTGGGTTGCTTCTTGGAGCACCAGGAGATAAGGTTGGAGCCCAAGTAGATAAGGTAGCCAGTCGTAGAACAGCGCGAGTCAGGGCAACCTACCCAATCCGCATATGAGTAGACCAGAAGTCGAGAAGAGGCAGGTTGCGGCTGGAAAGTGAGACCAAAATCAAGTGTGCCTTTGACATAGCGAAGGATCCGTTTGACAGCAACCATGTGAGTAGAGCGAGGGGAGCTCATAAATTGGGCAACAGTGTTGACTGCAAATGAGATGTCAGGGTGGGTGAGGGTGAGATACTGTAGACTCCCAACAAGTTCACGATATTCAGTGGGAGAGTCAAGCAAGGCACCTTCAGTTGCTGTGATTAGTGGTTTTGCGGCAAAGGGAGTAGGGGCAGGCTGGGCATGTATGAGATTACTCTTTTGAAGCAAATCATGAGCATATTGAAGTTGATTAAGATGAAGAGCACCATCCTGAGAATGAACCTGTAAACCCACGAAGTAGCTAAGAGGACCAAGGTCCTTAATGTCAAAATGGTGACCCAAAAGAGCAATAAAGGGTTGTAAGAGAGAGGAATCGCTGCCAGTAATGACTATGTCATCAACATATAGGAGAAGAAACATAGTATGAGAAGCATGCCGCAAAATAAAGAGTGAGGAGTCAGCCAAACTTCGGTGAAAGCCCACAGAGAGTAGGAAAGTGCTAATGCGGGTGAACCATGCACGTGGAGCTTGTTTGAGGCCATAAAGGGATTTGTGGAGTTTGCACACATGATGAGGGTGAGCAGGATCTACAAAGCCAGGGGGCTGAATCATGTACACGTCCTCGTTCAGAAACCCATGAAGAAAAGCATTCTTGACATCTAGGTGGCGCAAGGGCCAGCCACGGGAAGTAGCAAGACTGAGTACCGTGCGAATGGTGGGTGGTTTAACAACGGGGCTGAAGGTCTCCAAGTAGTCAATGCCTGGACGTTGGTGGTAGCCCTTAGCAACTAGGCGTGCTTTATAGCGTTCTATAGTGCCATCAGAATTACGCTTGATGCGAAAGACCCATTTGCATCCGATAGGAGTATGATTGG